TAATTAACGAGTCTGCCGTTTTCATGAGATAATTTTTTATTTACTTAATGTGAAATTATTGATAATTCATTTATGTTTCTATACATTGTAACGCACACTGTATAAAATCACTATCACTGGATTAAATTTTTAAATTAATTTGATGGTTTGTATGAGTTTATAGTAGATAGTACCTTCAGAATGGAAAATTTTAATCATTATTTGCTACCTAATCTTATTTTCTAATCATTATCTGGAAAAGTATATAGATTACTACTTGAATCTGGATTGGAAATGTTTTATCTGATTGTTACAGCTTTATCAAACTAAAATTTTGACTCAGTTTTTATTGCGAAAACTGTCTTATCGTCTTTAATAAATAAATATCGTTCGCAAAATTTATTTTGATATTTTAATCAATACAGTAATAAATTATCTCCCAAAACACCTGCAGTTACACCTCTGTAGATTTTAGATTTAAATCGAGTAGATAATTAGTATCTTTAATCAGTACCGTAATAAACGTCGCGTCAATCATTTTGAGTCCTCAAATTAGAGTATCCAGGAAAATAACCGCACCAGGAGCTGCACACGTGCCCACAAATACATAAATAATCAGATTCATAATACAAACACTAGTTTGTTCCAGCCCACTTTAAAGTGACTCTAACAAGAGCCTTTTAAAATAAAAGTGTCATTCGAAGGAGCCAAAATGAAAATGTGGGTACCAAAATGATGTCATTCGAAGGAACCACCAAAGTGATGTCATTCGAAGGAACCACCAAAGTGATGTCATTCGAAGGAGCCAAAATAAAAATGTAGGCACCAAAATGATGTCATTCGAAGGAGCCAAAATAAAAATGTTGGCACCAAAATCATGTCATTCGAAGAAGCCAAATTTAAAATATTGGTACCAAAATTGTCTTTCGCAGAGACCATAATAAAAATGAGGGCACCAAAATGATGTCATTTGAAGGAGCCAAAATGAAAATGTTGAAACAAAAATGTTATTTGGAGGAGCCAAAATCAAAATGTAAGAACCAAAACTATGCCATTCGAAGGAGCCAAAATGAAAATTTAGCACCAAAATCATGTCATTCAAGGGAGCCAGAATAAAAATGTGATCACCAAAATGATGTCATTTCAAAGAGCCAAAATAAAATTGGGGGCACCAAAAACATGTCATTCGAAGGAGCCAAAATATAAATATTGGCACTAAAATGAGGTCATTCGAAAAAGCCAAAATAAAAATGTTGGCACCATAATTAAGTCAGAATAAAATTGTTGGCACCACAATAATATCATCCGTAGAAACCAAAATAAAAATGGGTACACCAAAATGATGTCCTTCGAAGGACTAAAATAAAAATGGGGGCACTAAAATGATGTCATTTGAAGGAGCTAAAATAAAAATGTTGGAACAACGATGATATTATTTGGAGGAACCAAAATGTAGGCGCCAAAATTGTTATTTGAATGAGCCAAAATCAAAATTTTAGCACCAAAATTGTCCTTCGAAGGAGCCAAAATCAAAATGTTGGCACCCAAATCATGTCATTCGAAGGTGCCAAAATATAAATGCTGGCACCAAAATGATGTCATTTGAAAGAGCTTAAATAAAAATGTTGAAACAAAAATTATGTTATTTGGAGAAACCAGAATCAAAATGTAGACACCAAAATTGTCTTCGAAGGAGGCAAAATCAAAATTTTGGCACCAAATCATGTCATTTGAAGAAGCCAAAATAAAAATGTTGGCACCCAAATCATGTCATTTGAAGAAGTCAAAATAAAAATGTTGGCACCAAATATAAATGTTGAAACTAAAATTATGTTATCTGAAGGAACCAAAATCAAAATGATGGCACCAAAATTGTGTCATTCAAAGAAAGTTTTTACGTTCTGGAACGGCTTTAATTTAAATTGCATTGTGATTCCATTTATTGCTTTAGATCATAAATTGTCAAATTCATGTCACGAAGTTCAATTGATATTAAAAGTGATTTATGAATTTAATATCGAATAATGCAAATAATTTACGGCCTTTTTTTAGTCTATTTCATTTAATAGTTTGGATGTTCGTAGCGCTGTGGTAGGCGCCTGGCTTCGAAATCACGATTGCCATTCCTGGTATTTCCGGATTGCAATTCGAAAATTTAATAGAGAATATATCAAATATAGATAGCAAATTTTTTTTTCTAGAAGGCTTAAACAGTATCATCACAATAGTCTGTAGGACTCTATTTGTACTGATTGCTGGTAACAAAAAAATGATTTAATAGTTATACAGTTGTACCATGGCGCATGATAATTACAATATTGAGTGTTTAAATATTCAAAAAAAAATTAAATAAAAAAAATTATATAGTCCAACGTTACGCTCCTGTTCCTACACAATATGATTTATGATTTGGCAGAAGCAGAGCCGATAATTTCGTGAAATGTTGACAAAGTACTTAATAAAAAAAACACTCCTTTTATGATAAACATGTTCATTTGATTTTTTTATCATATCTGCTACAAGATCCATTAAAAGTCGAGAGTGGCATGATTATTTATAAAATTAATATTATCAGTATCGCATTATGGTCGAATGCTTTTATAACAGCAATAGTGTTTTATTGATAACAGCACATGCCGTGCAAGGTGCATGTACTTTGTCCCAAAATGCAATCTGTTATCATGAAATCTAATTAATCTTTTTTAATCATATAGAATATTATAAAATTAATAGATTGTAATATAATAATATATTACATAGCCACTTAAAAAACAGATGATTGTGCATTAAGTGAAGAACAAAACTGAGGCGGTTTTAAAAATACACTTATTAACTCATAGGTATCCAAAAATATCTAGTCTCGCCTAAGATAGTTTTTTTACAAGTCAAAAGTAAACTAAATTTCAACAACAAAAATAGTATATATTTAATTGAACCTCGTTAAGACGATCATCCTCAGCACAATTTCTCGCATAATACGCGTCTTTGCTTGTCCTGCACATGCACTTTCTCGCATAATACGCGCTTTTGGTGTCAATGATGACACGTATCTAATGTTGAAACGTCTGCATAAAAAATTTTCATGTATGTATTTCATTTTCAAATTTGACGATTGGGTAGCTATATAATATAATTGATTTTTATTGGGTATTTTTATTTAATGTAATGGTTTTCATAATTCAGTTGATGGCTTAAGTGATGTCTTTTGATTGATTTATAATAATTCCTGTAGAAAGATCATCCCATATCTCTGAAACTTAGAAAATATTTATGAACAAAAAATTAAATAATTTTTTAAAAGCTTTTAAATTTAAAAAAATGGTTTTAATAATTCAAAAGTAAAAAGTGAAGTCTTTCAATTTTTAAATATTTATAAATAAAAAATTAAATTTTTACAGGCGTTTGCTTGAAAAAAATTGGTTTTAATTATTCAAAGATAAAATTGGTATTTTAATTTTAAAATATTTATGTAAGTGTTCAAATAAAATTAAATGTATAAAACTTTTTTTTTATTGTATTCAAATAAGTCCTTGGGACATTCCATATATCCGAAACGTAGAAAATATTTATAAATGAAAAATTAAATAGTTTTTAGAAGCTTTACTATTTGAAAAAATAGTTTTATTGATTCAAAGTTAAAAAGTGAATCTTTTCAATTATCAATTATTTATATAAATGTATAAAACAATGTTTTATTCAATTTTTTATATCTAATAGTTCCTGATGAAGTAAGATGAAAAGAAAATCTCATCCTAAAAACGTAAAAAATATTTATAAATGAAATAATTTTTAGGGGATTTTAGTTCAGAAAAATCAAAAATAAAATCACACACACAGATATATATATATATATATATATATATATATATATATATATATATACCTTTATAAATAACAAATACAAGGTATTCAACTAAATAAATAAATAAAATAATTAATATTTAATTGAATCACAGTAAATTTTTGATACAAATTAATGAATTATTTATAAAACAATATTTAATTTTTATTAAATATAATTACTAAATTGAAATTACCTTTATTAATAATACTTTACTGCATTAAAAAATTCATGATGTGATGAAATGTACAATTATGGGCTTAAATGTCTATTGATTCAAAAAAAATCAGAACACAATTTTAATGAATTATTATTTGTTATAATATTTAACAAAGTTAATTTTTTTTAATAAAAGTATGAATGACAACTAAATAAATAAATAAAATAATTATTAATACTGTGATATACTGTGTGAGTAAATTTTTGGTACATATTAATAAAATATTTATTTAATATTAATTTTTAATAATTATAATTACTACATTGAAATTACCTTTATTAATAATAACTTACTACATTGAAAAATTCATAATTGAATAAAATGTATAGTTATGGACTTTTATAAATATCTTTTGATGTAATAAATTTCAGAACACAATTATAATAGAATATTATTTGTTATAAATTTTAATTAAATTAATTTCTTTTAATTAACAATATGAATAACCTCAATAAAATCAATAGTAAATGTACTAGTTGATTTTTAGTGAGTTATTATATCTAAAAATACTTGGTTTAAATTATTTAAAGATCAAAAGTGAAGTCTTTTAATTTTCAAATATCTATATAAGTATATATTTGTTTAATTTTAACTAAATTAATTTCTTTCAATCATAAGTATGAATAACATCTAATATATAACAACTGTGAATAAAAAATTCAAAAACAACATCCACATACATTGCAGATAAAATCTTCAAAATAACAAACGTCGCGACCATTACAAAATAACTGCAGGTAATTAGTTCTAAAATATCAATAACAAATAAATTAAATAAATATTAGCATAATTCTAATTCAACTAAATCCACCGTAATCAATTTTATCAACAAAGAAATACATAATACATAATCCATTTATTTATCTTTACAATTTTAAAATTGCCACGCTCTACAGCAGCGCCATCGCCTCGGCCGACTATAAATACAAGTTACGAGCGCGGTCGATCGTCATTGTTACTTTTGTGTTGGAGTTGTTTAGTCGTTTGTTGTGTTTTGATATTATTATCGTGTGTTTTTTCTAATTTATTATTAATTAATAAATCATTTTAAAATGGCCTGCTGGGAAGGAAAGAAATACAAATTGGACAAATCCGAGAACTTCGATGATTACATGAAAGCCTTAGGTGAGTTTTGAGGTTATCAACTTGCCGGCATTTGTAACCGACTTGTGTTTAATAACTGTAATTATAAATTGTATGACGTTGTAATATAATTGTTATGTTAGTTTATTTTATATATTTATATTTTATATATTACAACGTTAAAATCGATCACCTACCACATTTTTTTTAACTTTATATGCCAGTGTAAAACGTCATTTCTTTATAAGTGAATCCTAGCTAGATTCTTAGTGTAATTGTTTATACATTATAAACGTTATTATGTTCTATTAAAGTATATTCATAGAAATTTTTTCTTACATTTTCTTATAAAATGCTGGGAAAAATTGTATGACTGAGTGTACCGGCGTTTTAGATGTTGCAATAAGATCGATTTTTTTGCCGGTCGAGATGCTTACAAGAAATGTTTAGTTTCTTTTTTAACCAATTTCATATATTTTATTATTATTGATTTAGTTATTGTGTTTATTATAGTTTTTTTTTACATAATTTTCTTATTTCAATTTTTTTGCTGGATGTTGAGAAAATTGTGCAACGGAGTGTACCGCCCTTTTAGAAATTGCGAGATAAATCGATGCTTGCCGAAGGTTTACGAGACATATCTTCAAATTTTGATTTCATTTTAAATGGATTCTTATAATATTAAAATTAGAACCTGAAGAATATTCTTTAGTTGTACCGAGTATTACATTTTGTGATTCTTAACATCGAGGATCAAAGAATAATGTAGTACTAATTCTAATTCCCTTACTAGTTATTTTCCTATTATTTACATATTTACTTAATCATTTGATTATTATTTGGTTGAATGGTTTACTTCTTTCTTTTAATTTTTTGTACAATGTTGAGAAAATTGTACAACGGAGTGTACCGCCCTTTAACAAATTGCGAAATAAGTCGATGCCTGCCGAAGGCTTACGAAAGATTTCTTCAAATATTAGTTTAATTTTATTCTAAAGGGATTCTTAAAATATTACAATTAGAACCTGAAGAATATTCTTTGGTTGTACCGAGTATTACATTTAGTGATTCTTAACATCGAGGATCAAAGAATAATGTAGTACTAATTCTAATTCAATTACTAGTTATTTTCCTATTTGCATATTTACTTAATCATTTGATTATTACTTGGTTGAATGGTTTACTTCTTTCTCCTAATTTTTTGTGCAATGTTGAGAAAATTGTACAACTGAGTGTACCGCTCTTTTAGAAATTGCGAAGTAAATCGATGCCTGCCGAAGCATTACGAGGCATTTCTTCAAATTTTTAGTTTCATTTTAAATTGATTCTTATAATATTACAATGAGAACCTGAAGAATATTGATTTACAGAGCATTTTGTGATTCTTAACGTCGTGAATCAAAAAATAATGTAGTACTAATTCTAATTCAATTACTAATTATTTTCTTATTTACATATTTACTTAATCATTTGATTATTATTTGGTTGAATGGTTTACTTCTTTCTTCTAATTTTTTGTGCAATGTTGAAAAAATTGTACAACGGAGTGTACCGCCCTTTTAGAAATTGCGAAATAAATCGATGTCTGCCGAAGGCTTACGAAAGATTTCCTCAAATATTAGTTTAATTGTATTTTAAAGGGAGTCTTATAATATCACAATTAGAATCTGAAGAATATTATTTGGTTGTACCGAGTATTAAATTCAGTGATTCTTAACGTCGTGGATCAAAGAATATGTAGTACTAATTCTAATTCTTTAGTTATTTTCCTATTTACTTATTTACTTAGTTATTTATTTATTATCAGGTTGAATGGTTTACTTCTGTTTTTTTTTGGAAATTTTTGTAATGTCAGCGGCGTGGCTACCACATCAATTATAAGAGACCCAAAATTTTATGGGGGCTCCTAACGTGCCAAAGCAAAAATTAATAAACGTCGACAGTTTTTTTTTTACAAATTTGGTCTCATTCAATTCAGAATGACTTGCTACGTCGAGAAAACATAAAATTAGCAATTTGGATTTTCTCGTGAAGTACAAACGTTTCCTTCGGGTGTTGAAATTCTCGCAAATGAACTATAGAGTCAGAAATTTTAGGAAATCTATAATGATTATCAGTTATAAATAATTTATTAAATTAATTTTTTGAAAACGCGTGTAATTAAATGTTACTAACATAATAGTAACAGTTAGTTAGTTTGAATTGTTAGTAACATTTTTCGTTAAATTGATGTCTAAATATTTTCTTCAATTTAATGATTTCTTAATTTATGAAAAATCTTTATCATTTCCGTCGAACAAATTTTTATATGGAGCCCTGCCAAGGCACGCCTAGCTTTTGTCTTAACATTAATTAACTTCCCGTAGGGTAAGTTATAGTAATCGCAAAAAAATCGAAAATAAAAATTTTTATATATCTTTACGTTTTAGAGGTTTCTGAATATTTTGGCATACCTTAGAAAAAATGGATGTATGTGTGTGTGTGTGTGTGCGTGCGTGCGTGCGTGCGTGCGTGTATGTATGTGTGTGCGGATACAAATTTTCGTCGACGATTTCGGAACACGGATAAAGCAATTTGAATAATTTAAAAAACATTCGATTCGTATTGATAAGGAGACGTGCTGATTAGTTTTTGGCGTTGGTAGGTCTAGCCGATCCGAAGATATGGAGCAAAAAGTGCCAAAAACGGTACCTCAGTTTTAAGAGAACGGAGCGTCCGATTTTAATAATTCAAAAAACATTTTACTTGTATTGACAATATGAAGATTTGATCAAATTTTCATAAGGGCAGGTCTAACGGTTTCGGAGATCTAACGAAAAAAGTAAAAAAAAAAAGCCATTTGGCGGTCAAAAATGATTATTAGACATATGCACATCAAATTATCAGATATTTTTATAGAGATTTTAACAATAAGTATAAATTTTGTTTACATTTCTATGGGTTCCGTACCAATGTTTACTCGTTAGACAGCGACGCGGCGCTTACGCGCTTTATATTTTGTCTCTATGCAGTTAAAGCAGTACAATTGCTTTGAAAAAAAGTTCAGATCTTCCAAAATATGTCAAAATAAAGAAAACATTTTTTTTTTTAAAAAAAATAAAAAAAATTTTTTTTAATTTTTTTTTTTTTTAAATTTTTTTTTTTCAAAAAAAAAGTAATTTTTTGTCCAATTTATTGTTTCTCAAAAATATTATTTTTTTGAAGTAAATTTTTTTCAAAAATGTTAATCTTTTTAAAAAAATAATTTTTTGTACGGGAAGTTCCAGCAATTTGCCTTAAGGCACGATGCCCTAATTGCCTTAAGACAGAATTTCACTTACAGCTAGTTTTGAAAAATAACTACAAAATTAAAAACATTTTGAAAAAAGTTTTGTAATAAATTTGATATAACAACTTGGCAACTTGCTATAATTCTAACTTGGAGTAGGTACCACAGTTCTGACGGAAATTTTATATTATTTTGACCATGGTTTCGACCAAGCAAAAAATGAACAAAAACGAAGCGCGAATACAAAATAAAAAACCGACGACTTGAAACAGTGAAATATTGACATCGGAGCATTGGAGAATTTTCGCGCGCGTTCGTAACAGAATCTATCCTAAGGTATGCCGAAGCTTCCAATATGAATTCTTTGAATATAAAACGCAAGGAATGAAAAAAAAACTTGTTCCCGAGGCTGAGGAGAGACGGTGGTCATATTACGTGCGCTAAAAGCTAAAACACACATACAGAACAGGACTGATAACGACGTAACGTAACATACGAAACCCCCGCGGTCAGACAAGACAACGCCCAAACGAAATCCTAATGAACGAGACAAATATCACCGACGTTAATAAAACTAAATTTAAACAGAGCGAAACATTCTAAAAAATAACTAGTGGTTAAAAATTAAATAAAAAAAAACTTTCAATTTTTTTTTGAAAACAAAAAAAAAGTTTTTAGAAATTTTTAGAAAAAATTTAACTTTTTTTTCAAAAATATTTATTTTGAACTTTTTTGTAACTTTAAATATTTTTGAAAACTTTGGAAAAAATATTTTTGAAAATTGTCATTTTTTTAAAAAAAAAGACTTTTTTCAAAAATATTTTTATTAACTTCCCGTTGGGCAAGTTATAGTAATCGCAAAAAAATTGAAAATGAAAATTTTTGTATATCTTTACGTTTCAAAGGTTCCTGAACATTTTGGCATACCTGTGTGTGTGCGCGCGGATACAAATTTTCGTCGACGATTTCGGGAACACGGATGAAGCGATTTGAATAATTCAAAAAACATTCGATTCGTATTGATAAGGACACGTGCTGATTAGTTTTTGGCAAAGGCAGGTCTAGCCGTTCCAAAGATATGAGGCAAAAAGTGCCAAAAACGGTAACTCAGTTTTTAAGAGAACGGAGCGTCCGATTTGAATAATTCAAAAAACTTTTTACTAGTATTAACAAGATGAAAAACTGGTCAAATTTTCATGAAGGCAGATCTAGCGGTTTTGGAGATCTAGTAAAAAAAAATTTAAAAAAATGCCATTTGGCGGTCAAAAATAATCATTAGACATATGAAAATCAAATTATCAGATATTTTATATAGATTTTAACAATAAGTATAAATTTTGTTTTCATTCCTATGGGTTCCGTACCAATGTTTAGCCATTAGACGGCGACGCGGCGCTTACGCGCCTCGATATTGCTTCTCTATGCAGTTAAAGCAGTATGATTGCTTTGAAAAAAAAAGTTCAGAATTTCTAAAATATTTCAGAATAAATTTTTCTTCAGTCTTTTTTTTTTCAAAAAAATAAATTTTTGTCAAAAATTTATAGTTTCTCAAAAATCTAATTTTTTCAGCGTAATTTTTTTCATAAACGTTAATCTTTTTAAAAAAAATTAATATTTGGTACGTGAAGTTTCAGCAATTTGCCTTAAGGCACGATGCCATGCGGCCCACTAGTTTTGAAATCTTTTAAATAAGTATATTTTTTTGAACTTTTTTCAAAGCAAACGAGCTGTTAAAGAGCCAAAATATCGAAGCGCTTATGCGCCGCCTTGCAGT